CTGCTTACCCTCACATGGCCCGGGCTGTCAGCTGATCAAGTTGGGTAACTCCTGGCACACGGCCTGGCCGTAGTGACAGGGTAGTATTGTGTGGGGCTCCTGTCAGCTGCACCTACAGCTCTCTCTCTACTGGCCAGTCTGTTCCGCAAGCCTCTGGCACCCTCTTGCTCAATAACTGGACTAGATAAACACATCCATGTGAATTATTGGAGCTAACAATCAAAAGCAAAACTGAGATCGGGACACTTCACTTGGCCTGGGCATCAAGTCCGTGTCATTTAAGTCACTTCTGTACTATGGATCACCCTGAATGCTGCAAGGCTATCCAAGAACAGAGGTGATTACGCTCAAGCTTTGAAGGAGGAGCTGGAACAGGAATTTCCCTACCGTGGAGAAAGGAACAGAAGCCGGAGCATTCACTAGTTAGTGAAAGATCTGTAAACAAACAGCTTAACAAAAGCAAAAAAATAGGAGTTCTCCATGCCATGCAGACAAGAGCAGCCTCCACACTTTCTTTCCATTATTAACAGTAAGCTCCTCTGACCAGAGGTCTTGTGCCATACAATAAAATCACAGGCCTCCAACCCTTTCTTCAGAACTCTGAACTCTTTTTCTCCTGTTCAAAGGAATATTTTGGCTCTGGTGTGCGTTTAAACCAAGAAAAAGAGGAAACTATAACCTAAAGACACCTAATGTCCAGATGCTCCCTCCCCCCCAAATACCTGATAAAAAAGCAAAAAAAAAACAAAACACATATGGTTCACATTGTTAATCCACATGCCCATACATCATGTGGGATAATTAGCTAATAAATGCAAACGAGAGCTGAACGGATATCCTTGCTTCTCCAAAAGGACACAATTCTGCAGTGGAAAAGGCATGCGGTTTGAATGACCAAAGGTTTTTACATTATGCTCCTATGCTGAAGGCTTCATTTTGTACAAACTGAATGTAATGTTTAGCTGTTCATACCAAAATCATGGATGTTGGGAAATATAATGAATTCAAAAATGGGAAATGCTTACTTAGTTCTATTACTTGCATCATGTGCCTTCAAAAGGCAGACTAAATTCAAGAATTGTATAGAATTGTATAGATTTCTTTCCCTTTTAACTTGCTGGAATGAGTTCCTGAGCACACTTTCATGCTTTAGTTATGTGTGTAGTACGTTTCATCACATCCTGCATAGTCACCACTACCTGTGTAATTCTTAGCCATGTTAATGGATTTCCTGAATGCTCTTCTCCAACCCCTATGTTCTTGCATGCCCATATAAGCTAATAAAATGCAGTGGGGGGGGGGCATACCATATTTACTTAAAGGGAAGGCACCCCCCCCCCCAGCATTATACACCAAAGAGTATGTATGCATATGTAAGATGGCCTCACTGGTGGATCTCCTGATGGCACCTGGTATTTCTGGCCACTGTGTGACACAGAGTTTTGGATTGGATGGGCCTTTGGCCTGATCCAACATTGGCGTCTCTTATGTTCTTATGACCCTTTTTTATGGCATACCTGGGTGGGGGGAACTTAGTGCACTGGAGTCAATACTGTGTTAGCATGGTATGAACAAGAAACTGATGTGTTCTATGGAGACAAGGGAGGAAATATACAAGTTAAAGGCAAACTTCACTTATAAATTGAATTAAGAAGGCTAACAGAAAGTGTACCATCCTAGGTAAATAAGAACCATTTCAAACTACTTCAACTTAGAGGGACAGCAAAATACAGCATCAGCCATCTACCTCCATTTGTCTTGTGGCAAACCCATTTTTGTGAACTAGGAAAGCAAATGACATTTCTCCCAACTATACCGTTTCAAAAGCAATTATAAAGTAAAAAGCAACAAGAAAACCCTGGGGTACCATAAGAATATGTGGCTATCATTTAATTTCTTCAATAGGTGGTGTATTCAATTTT